GACTTTCCAAGATGCCCAGTGGATTCTCAAATAATACTGAACCCTATATAAACTACGTTTTTTTCCTATACACACGTACCTATGATAAAATTTATGTATTAGGCACAGTAAGCGATTAACAACAGTATAATTACAATTGTAATAAAATATGTGAATAACTTTGGGGCCATTATTAAGTAGCGTAAGGGTTACTTAAACACAAGCACTGGGATACTGTGACAGTCAGTCTGATAACCAAGAAGGCTCTAACTGGCTAACGGGCAGGCGGCACATACAGAGTGGATATGCTGGACAAAGGGATGACTCACATCACGAGCAGGACGATGCGAGATTTTATCAGGCTATTCAGGACAGCTCGCAATTCAAAATGTGTGAATTGCTTATTTTGGGAATTTTCTGTTTAATGTTTTTGGACCACGGTTGACTGTGGGTACCTGAAACCTCAGAAAGCAAAACCATGGATAAGGGACAACTACCGTACATTCAGTTTTTGTATCATGCCAGAATGGAACACTTACCTTGCTGTCTGACCACGGCAGCTCTAAAACTGCTTGTGCTGACCTTTAAAAACTGGAGTGGACTTTCTTTGCTGCCACCCCTGCGGCTGTATCACTGCTGCCTAAGGAGCCTACTGCTACGTGGGCTTCTCCTAGTTCCTCCGGGCACACCAGCACCCACCTCACTCATGCCACATGCGTTATGTCTCTTGCCTCGTACCCCGGAGATCAGGCATAAGGCAAGCGCTCCAACACCCACGTGGCACTCGTGTAGGCACACCCTTGATGGGCAAGGGAGCTAACACACTGTGGGGGCGCACTTTGACAAATGGGAGATGGAAGCCAATGAAGCATCTTCATCCGGCCTCTTGAAAGATGTCCTGTGACACGGAGCAAGCAGTTTTTTCTAAAGCTGTGGCCAGCTCAGGACTATACTCCCTTGTACGTACTCTCTCCTTCCCTGCCTCACTGCCCTTTCCTTTACTCCTGCTTCCCTGAGATTGCTTGCCCTGATAAAGGACTAGCATGCAAGCCTTGGCCTCCTGACCTGTGACTTAGGGGACCTAGGCTAAGAAAATGGTGGTACTTATACTAATAGAAAATTCACCATGTTTAGTGACATTTTTCTGTGATTCTCTCTTTTCTGGGTTTCTGGAACTTCAAATTCTAAACCGAAGCCACCACTCGGAAGCTAAGTGACTGTGTCAATACCTCAGATGTAGGAAAGTAAGAGAAAAGAGGATTTACGCACAAGCTCCAAGTTCATCGGAGCCTAATTCCTGGTTCAGTGCAAGAAAAAAACAGGTTCTAATACAGTACTTTCAACTGCTTAATCATTGATTGTTTTATCCAGTTTAACTGTTCTGACTTTATCCTCTTTGTCTACTTACATTCTTATCCTGGCAAGCAGATATTAAAACACAGTCATGTACTTTCAAAGTTACTGTTGCACAGAGTCTTCTATATAAGCCTTAGCAAAGTCAATAGGTATTCCAAACTGGCCCTTCATGGCACTGTCTTAGAGGGGATGGGAAAAGTTTAGAAATTCAACCCTAGAAGCTTTCTAAACTGTCTTACATTCAATGGGCAAAAGTTAATAGTAAGTTAACCAATAAAACCATATCAGTGAAATATTAATCCTTCAAACTGCCCCATGTTTTTCCTAGTTCCCTCCCATGCACAGATGATGTGCTGAGAAAATCACCTTAGCAATCTGTCCCTTCTTTAATAATTTTGCAAAAGTTCCATCTGCTGGGTGGTGAACACACAATGTGATATATAGATAATGTATTACAGAACTGTACACTTGAAATCTATGTAACGTTACTAACCATTTAATTTTTTTAAAAGTTCCATCTGCTATGTTAGTCATTAGTGCCATTTACCTAATATTTCTGGTTCTCCTTATGGGCACGTGGTAGAATTGTACTCCCTTGCCCTTTTGAAGTTAGGAGTGACCACATATCTTGCTATGGCCCATGTAATGTGGTCACAAGTGACATGAGTCATTTTCAGGTGGAAGATTTCAAAACTAGGGTGTGATTTGCCCCCCTTTCCTTCTCCCTGCAACAGGAACTAGTCATGTGTCACTTGTCCTACAGCCTGGGTCCTGGAGCAAGACTGAGACAGAGCACAGCCCTGTGCTAACTTCTAATGGACATGGAACATGCGTGAGAAATAAAGCTCTGTTGGTTTTGTGGGTAAGTGTTATAGCAGCATAACCTAGTTGATCCTAACAAGCCTGGGGAAGCCACCTCCTTAAAGCACCGATGATTTCTGAGTCAGATTCCCCAGTTTTATGTCCACAGCATTCTGATGCTAAGACTCTGCATAGGGCAGCTCACTAAATTGTTCCAGCCACCATGTGTTAAGTGTTCTAATCCCAATTTAAAGTTAACCTCAACAAAATGAGGGTCATGCCGCCATCTTGAAAGCTGCAGAGATGGGTTTTTGATATCTTGCCTAGAAATTCATCAATTGCATTAAAGCCCCCAGCTCCCTCTTTCCCAAACACCCTGAAAGCAGTCTGTGACCACTGTTGACTCCGTCTGCGTCGCTCTACTTGAAAGCTGTAATTTGCTTTCATATTAAATGAAAGCATTTTCCTCTGCCGACTCTGGCATCTTTCTCCAGCACCCTTTCAGGAGCCTGGAAGAGACTGGCCATCCAGTCACATTCACAATTAGGAAATCCATGAGGAGGCCCTCGTAGGGCTACGAAGCCAAAGAGACCAGTTAAAACTGACTTCCATCTTCTACCTCTCTCTCTTCACCTCTACTACAGAGAATCAATACCAGGGGGAGTTCTTGCGATATATGACCTAACATGAACTGTGTGGCCTCTGGACTGGGTTAAAGGGTGTCTCCCAACATTCATGTCTGCCCAGAACCTGTGAATGTGACCTTATTTGGAAAAAGGGTCTTTTACAAATACATCAAGTTAAGACAGCATCATACTGGATTAGGGTGGAACCTAAATCCAGTGTGACTGGTGTCCTTAGAAGGAGAGAGAAATTTACACACAGAGACACACACACACACACACACACACACACACACACATACACGGAGAGAATGCCATGTGACAATGGAAGCAGGCACTGGAGTGATGCATCTGCAAGTCAAGGAATGCCAAGGACTGCCAGCAACCCAAGAAGGTGAGAGGAGGCACAGAAAGACCCTCCTCTACAGCCTTCAGAGGGAATGTGGCCCTGCTGACACCTTGATTTTGGACTTCTGGCCTCCAGCACTGTGAGATAATACATTTCTGTTGCTCTAAGCTACCCGGTTTGTGGTAATTTCTTACAGCAGCCCTAGGAAACTAAAGCAGCTTCCAAAGCCCAGGGAAAAATAAAACCATAGGAAAAAAGCCCACGTATATATTTATGTTTTACATATGTGTGTGTTGGTTTGTTTTTTAACTAAATATACAGTTGTTTCTTGGTATTGCCAGGGGATTGGTTCCAGGACCTCCAAGTGGATACCTAAATCTGTCAATGCTTAAGACCCTTATATAAAAGGACGTAAAACAATGCATACAGTCGGCTCTCTGCATACGAGGAGTCCCAGCTGTGGATGCAAAACCCGAGGATATGGAGAGCTGACAGTATATGTATTGAAAAATAAATCTGCATGTAAGAGGAACTGTGCAGTTCAAAACTGTGTTGTTCAAGAGTCAACTGCATATACATGACACTGTTTTTCACTATCACATTCCACCACCATACATATTGTAAAAATCACACAGATAAATAAAATACCAGTTTGGTTATCAGGCAAAGAACAGCTTTCTGTTGCTCCCTGCGGTATGGCCTTTGGATGTAGACAGACCTGAGTTGGCATATAGGCTTACCACTCAGTAGCTGTGACCCCTGAAGCAAGTTTGTTAAATTTATGTAGCTCTGGTTCCTTTATCTATACTATTGGACTAACAGATGTACCGGGGGGAGGGTGGGGTGCCAAAAAAAAAATCACCTTTTGTCATCGGTATATATTGAATATTACAATTTTAATACAGTTTTTCTCCTTTCTTCAAATGTGTATACATGTTTTTTGGCATCCTCTGTATATTACATGTTTGCTACATGGTATAGTGGGCATCTGCCATTTTTTGGTACCTCTCAGCATCTGACTCCTTCCTGGGTTTGGGGAAATGCCCCACTAGTGAGGCAGCACCAGCCTCTGACTAGGGAAGCCGAGCTGGCCGATGCTCTTTTCCAGCAAACTCACAAGCATGATCAAGGCACTGCCAATAAGATGCACTTAGCGTGAAGACTCAGGGACAGCACAGAATCACCCCAGGTGAGGTCCCAGCTACCTCCAGATCCCAGAGCATCGGAGGGAGGCTCTAAGAATGACTCTTGGGGGAGCTCTGGGCGAAGGCTCTGCCTGCTGCCGTGTCCATGTTTGGCTGCGCCGCTGGCTGCCAGAGATCAATTCTACGGCGTGGTGTCAGAAATTATTGCCGGCTATGTAGCCTCTAAGCCTAGTCCTCCAATGTTCCTATGTCCTTGTAGGAAATCCTCTGTCCTCACTTTTTTTTTTTTTATTAAATTAGCAGAGTTGGTTTCTGATGCTAGCAGCTAAGAATCCTGACTAATATGAAAGGCTTAAATGAGATAAGAAATGCAAAGTACCTAGCAGAGTCACGAGTTATTTCCTTTCTCCCCACCTCCCTACACAGAGCTGGGTACAAGCAGAGAAAGTCTATCCTGCTGAGGGCGTGGGGCTGTGAACACGGGTTCAGAATACAGCTCTCAACAAGAATTCTGTCACCAGGTTCACAATGATGCTCAGGAGTTGAAGTGGAGGATTCAAAGAATGAAGAGAAAATGTGGTCTATACAACACAATAGGATATCATCCTGCCTTTAAAAAAGGAGATCCTGCCACATACGACAACATGGATGAACCTGGAGGACATGCTACGTGAGATAAGCCAGACACAGAAGGACAAACAGTGCATGATTTCACTTGTATGAAGTATTTAAAATAATCAAACTCACAGAAGCAGAGAGTAGAATGGTGGTTGCCAGGGGCTGGGGAGAGGCAAAAACAAGAAAGTATTAGTCAAAGGGTACAAAGTTTTGGTTATGCAAGATGGATAATTCAATTCTCAATTCCTAGAGATCTACTGCAAAGCATAGTACCTGGAGTTAACAAAACAGCATTGCAAACTTAAAAATTTCCTAAAAGGGTAAATCTTATGTTAAGTGTTCTTATCACAAAATAATAATAATAATAATAATAATAATAATAATAATAATAATAAAGGCAGAAGGAATCTTTTGGAAGTGATGGATACGTTTATGACATAGATTATGGTGATGGTTTCATGAAAATATACATATCTCCAAACTCACCAAGCTGTATATATTAAACATGTACAGCTTTTTGTATGTGATTCAAACCTCATTAAAGAGGTTAAAAAAATGTAAGGAAGCAAGAGCTGTTTCATCACGTGCAGACAGGACTATCTGGCAGGCCTGTGCTTCAGCCTGGATCCCCACCGACGGTTCAGGGCAGGCCCCATTAGTGTGCCAGGTTAAGCAAAGGTGTGTAGTGTTTTAAAGTGTGTGTATGGGGGCTATTTTACAGCAGCATTCGAGATGAACTCAAGAGCCTTCGACCAAACTGACAAGCCCTTACCAAAGAAAACTCACATCGAGAGAGCCTGTAGCTCAGGCTCTGCAAATCAGAATACCAGCTGACAATTTGAACAGGTTGCTTTGCACGTTTGTTGTTGTTATTTATGTTTTCTTTGAAGCCTTCAAACCCCTGAATCCCTGCTGTCTAAGCCAACCTCACATTTGGATGCACTAAGCAGCTGTTGCAACTGGGGATTCTCTCCCCCAAAAACACCGATTAAAAAAATAATAATAAGCTCTAGGCTCCTGCTTATTCTCACAAGTTTCCAGCAACTGGTGCCCTGACAAATGAAGTGTCAAAACATTTCCAAATTAAAACCCTCCAGCTCACACAGCCCCACGCCCTCAGCAGGATGGACTTTCCCTGCTTGTACCCAGCACACACTTGAAGAAACTAAAAATAGCCAGATGGCAATTAACAGAAACTCTGAGGAGGGGAATGGAGTGGGTTCCAGCAAGGTCAGTATCCTGAATGGATTCCAAATGGAGTTCTCACCCAGCAATGCTCTGGCCAAGTAAGGGATTTCATTAAAACTGCATGGAGGAGGCAGAATAAAAACTCAAAATTTGAAAGATTTCAAATTATAGCAGAATTGGAAACTACAACACCATCCCCAAGACCATCAATGATAATAATACGTGCTACTATGTACTGAGCATTTCATATGCATTGTATCTTCTTGACCTTGCAAGGACTCTAGGAAGTAGCTACTACTCTTATAGATAAGGGCACTGAGGCCCAGACATGGCAGGTAGCCTGCCCAAGGTCTCAAGGCAAACAGGTCTATAGCAGGCCTATGGCAGGTGCATGGTAAGTGGCTAAGCTGGAGTTTGAACTCAGTTCTCTGGCTCCAGAACTCATGTGCATAACCATTGTGTGATGCTGTCTCATACGTGCCCAAGGATGTTTAAGAAACCGCAAGGTTTTCACCTCATGCTTCAATCCAGAGAAACAAAAGTCTCCTTTGGCAATTTCACCCAATCTTCCTACAGGCAGTACCTTTCAGAGGTTATGCGTGTGGGCTCTAAAGTAAGACTAATTGGGTTCAAGTCCTGGCCTTTTCATTTCCTAGTTGTACTAAATCAGGTAAATTATCAACATTCCCAGGCCTCACTTCTCTCATCTCTAAAGTGTAAAAAGACATTAGTATTTATTAAAGTTGTCATAAAGATCAAAGAAACTGCTACATACTGAATGTGTGTGCCCTCCAAAATTGATACTTTGAAATCTTAATCCCCAATGTGACGATATTTGGAAAAGTCGGCTTTGGGAGGTAATTAGGGCACAAAGGTAGAGAGCCCTCATGATGGTATTGGTGCTCTTACAACAAGAGACAGGAGACAGCTTGCTTCTTCTCCCTCCCAGCCACATGGCTATCTCCCCATCCCCCACCACCTCTTTTCCCTCATAACAAGAGCGACCCATCTGACTGGGAAACATTAGAATATTATCAACCTGAGCATTCACAGCACCAGCTCTTGGAAGGGGCCAGCCTGCCCACTCCCTACTCAAGCATGCGCACTTGAGTGCCCTATATGGAAGATTACTGGGTAGGCTCTGGGCTTGTCTGAGGAGACCAGTTGTTCAGCACACATGTGGGTAGAAAAGTTCAGTTTGGTGGAAAAAACGGAGTAGGGAGCTTTATTTGGACACAGGTCCATGCCCTGTTCTCCAAACAGCATTTCCAACAATAAAGCTGATATTGTGATTTCTACCTGACATCTGGGTCTACTTCTAAATCAGTTCAGAACTCAGGAGGGGAAAGGGATATAATTAATTATCAACCATGTGATTAATTATCACCTTCATAAACCCCAACAGATGGATGCCTATTTTATTTCACTGGCAGATAAACCAATTTCAGGCTTAAAGGAAAAGGGTATTTTGTAGAATCAAATGAGGTTAGAGCTGGGAGTGACCTGAAAGATGATTTGGTCTAATATCTTCATTTTTATAGATGAAAAGTTATACAATGAAATCGTCAAATGACATAATCCATGTGAAATTCTGTGAAATGGCCAACTAATGCAAATTATTAGTTTGATTAATAGTTTTGGGAGTGGTCTTTAGAAGATAGAACCAGAATTAAAATCAGATTATAGGTAACATAGGAAATATATTATAGAAAATAGAATATAGATTCAAACTAAGCAACATTAGAGGGAGAGAAATTTCCCTAAATAAAAGGATTACCTCCAGAAAACATCCTCAAACCATGGAGAAGCAATCAATAGTTGAGAGTTGATGTTTTTTGGTGGGGGGGGGGGCAAGAAATCTACCTTCGGTCAATAAGACTGCTCACCCACAATCTTGAATACCAGGTAAGTTGTCAAAAGTAACAAGCGTTTCTTCTCTATCTTCATCCTGCCTACCTACCATAATCAGGTCATTCTCATAATTGCTAACCATGCATGCCCCACTGGCAAAGCAAAGGTCATGGCACCTCAAGACATATGACAAGACTTATGAGACTCTTTAGCCAAACACAGCCATTTCTAGTCTTACTTTTGTCTTTTACCATCACTATCAGCCCTACCTGAGTACCTAGATTCAGTTTTTAGAAAATGTCCTATCCTGGTAAGTCAGAGAGAGAGCCCACTTTGCCCTGTCTCTCCCACTGAGTACAGCTGTAAAACCTGGACAGAATGCATGAAGCAGTTATGTGAAAACTGAAAAGTAAAGAGCAGCAGGTAGATTGGGAAGGAAGACCAGAATTTGAAATACTACCAAGCCATATCCCGTTACCCACAACCCACAGCTTTAACTCAACACACCAAAAATGGGCACCAGTGTGAAGACAAGAGAGCTCTTGGAGATATTTTCTAGTTCTGGCCCCGGCACGGGGAAAAGGCAGTCCTAATGCTCAGAGAGGATGTGGAAATCCTGTTTTTTCTTCCTCTGTTCTTTTCCTCTCCTGTCTCCTCTTCTCCCCTTTCTCCGCTGCCCCTTCTTCCCTCCTTTCTTTTCCTTTCCTCCCTTCTTCTATGCTCCTGCCCCCAGCAACCTTGTGGTAGTCCCAGCATCACATCAGCTTACAGGAGCCAAAACTAAGAGAGGGGAACCTTCCTGTGCACTCAATGGTGCTGTCATTCCCAGAAGCGGGGGTCAACCCCCACTGCTTTTTTTCTCCTTGTCCTCTGTTTCACCAATAAGTAGGCAAAGTCATGGAAGTGCAGAGCAGAGTGAGCTTTTTGGCCCAGAGACTGAAAAGTGGTCCCAGGGAACCAAAAGGTACCAGGGAGATCGTGAAGGGAAAGAAACTTGGCAAAGCAACCCCATACAGGTTTTTCTTTTTATGTTTTGTACATAAATGTCTTGGCTTATCCCCAACCTGTACATGCATGGATCTGATCTTAATTAGCACACAAAATTTTGAGAATTCCGCGTAGGTGCCAGAATGACCACTGGGTGACATGCACATGGGACAGTTCCAAATAGCACTGCTAAGGCTTTGAAAACTGAACTGACAAACGAACCAGGGTCCTCAGAAGACCAACTAGTGACATGAAACTCACAGCCTGAACCTAACCAGGTTGAATTAATACTAAAACAAAAATATCAACATTATCCATTAGTTTTAAACAAGACCCAGAGTCTCATAACGTAATATTCAGCATATACAGAATACAATCCAAAATTTTTGGCAACTTAACAATCAGGAAAATCTCAATTCCCTGGGAAAAGATAATCAACTAAAGTTAACACAGCAGTGACATAGATGTTAGCATTATCTAACGACAATTTTCAAGCAGCTATTATTTAAAAAGCTCCAACCCGCAGTTATGAACAGTGCTGAAATCAATGGAAAAAAAGAACGGCTCAGTCAAGAAATAGATGCTATATAGCAGAGCCAAACAGAAATTTGGAATAAAAAATACAATAACCAAAATAAAAAAATTCTCTGATGGGCTTAATAGAAAGGAGATGCCACAGGAAAGAAAGCCATGGGCAAATCAAATAACTTGAGGCTACTTACCACTACTTTTCATGCACCTTCTCTCTGCTTTAATTAATTATTGCTACGTAACAAACCATATCAAAATTTACTGGTTTAAAATGGAACCAATTATTATTTCTGCCAATTCTGTGGGAGGGCTGCACAGTTTCTCTGCTGGTCTTGCCTGGACTCACTCATGTTTCTGCATTCAGCTGGAAGGGTGGATGGACTGGGAGGTCCAAGATGGCGTCACTCATAGGTCTGGCAATTGGTGCTGGTGGTTGTCTCGAGTGCCTCGGCTCTCCTCCATCTGACCTCTCAACCTCCAGTGGGAGAGACTGGGCTTCCTCACTATGAGGTGGTCTCAGGGTTCCAAGAGGGTAAGACCAGAAGCCATTAGGTTCATTAAGGCCTAGGCTCTGAAATTCACCCAGTCAGTTCTGTCATATTCTATTGACCAAAGTACAAGCCAAGGACAGCATAGAGATAAGGGGTAAAAAATTAGACTATCTCTTGATGAAAAGAGCAAGCTACACAACTTTGCAAACGGATGTGGACACAGGGAGGCATGAGTCATTGGGATCATTATCTCAATGTTCTACCATATCCTTCCTGTGGAATTAATGCTGCGAATTTCAAAGGCAGTGGATGAACAATTATGGCAGTAGAACACAATATGAGGCTCAGAGAAATGTATTGTTTTGCCTGAGATCACATAGCTAGTTAGAGGGAAAATATGAAACTAGATCCCATCACTGCTGATTCCACTGACCAGGGCTTTCATCTCTGAGATGAACTGCATAGTGTTTTGATACTTTGGCTATTTAACAGGTAGAGGAATAATAAACAACACTTATATAATGTGTTCACAATCATTCATCATTCAGATCTATTTTGTGAAGAAAATAAATGCAGGCACTTATGGAGTCTATAAAAAAAATGTGAAGTGACACAATAAGAGGTATTCATTATGTAGCAATAAAGCTCCTAACCTGTTCTATGCACCAAAACATAGTGCATTCAGTCTCTGGAGTTCCTGGCACTCAAAGCTTACTTTCTTTATTGAGGTAAAACTCATGTAACATAATATTAACCATTTTAAAGTGTACAATTCAGTGGTATTTGGTACTAGCACGATGTTGTGCACCCATCACCTTTATCATGTTCCAAGATATTTTCATCATCCCAAAAGGCAACCCTGTACCCATTAAGCAGCCACTATCAATTTCCCCATCCCCCAACCCCTGAGTACCACTAGCCCGCTTTCTCTCCAAGGATTTTCCTATTCTAGGTGTTTCCTATAAATGGAATCATATGAGCTTTTGTAACGGGCTTCTTTCATTTCATGTTTTAGTGGTTCATCCATGTTGAAGTGTGTATTAGCATTACATTCCTTTTTATGGGTAACAAAAATATAAATAATATTCCCAATACTTCATTATATGGCTACACCACACTTTGTTCACCTATTCATTTGGACTGTGTCCACTTTTGGGCTGTTGTGCATAGTGCTGCTTCCCATTCATGTATAGATAGTTGTTTGAATACCTGCTTTCAATTCTTTGGGGGTATGTAGTTAGGAGTGGAACTGCCGGGTCACATGGTAACTCTGTCAAAGCTTAATTCTGATTCTAGTTTTTGACAAGGCTTCTTAAAATGGCTTGAGATTAATAACCAGCTGCCAGCATTACCTTATCTCTAAAGTCAACGTGGTTCTGGAGGATGGCTCTGTGATAAGTAGCTGTCCTCACAAAATCTTGCATCATGTTCTGCTGCTGGGAAATGCAGCCATAAAACTGTAAGGGAAAGAGAAGGAGAGGGAGAGTCAACAACCCAGGCGGTAGTGCCTTCGTGAGCATGTGGCCCTGAGGGCCACCTTGGTCCAGGCAGGCTTAGCCTAACCACAGGGAAGGTGGGGTTTTGAGAGGTGCAGTGACTGGTCCCCACTGGCCCTGTTTGTACAGCTTAGAACTCTAAGTAGACCCCAGATGTCTGACTGCTGTTCCATACACTAATTTCAGGCTTAGATCTTGTCCAGATAAGTGTCCGGGTGCCCTTTCCAAAGCAGAGGCTACAAGAGAGCATAGATCAAGACTAATGGAAATAAGAGAAAGGGGCCAGGGCCAAAATGGATGGTTCCTATGAGTCCCATAAGTCTGGAGGGAGAGAAAAGTAGGTCTTGAATAGAATTCTTGGGCAAGGGTGGGGCAGAAGGTAGTGATGGTAATAATCCCGATGAGGCAAGTCAGTTGGGTGATATGATGCATACAAATCCATGAGCACTGACAGCTAGCAAGAAATATCATCACTGTAACTGTCACAATTTGGTAGAGTTTTCTAGGTGCCAGGCACCATGCTGAGGGTTTCACATACATCCTCAAATTAAATTAAATCATCACAACAATCAGATGAATTATGTTCCTCAGCTGAGGAAACAGGAGCTCAGAAAGATACAGAAATTTGCCCAAGTCCTGACAACTTGATAAGTGACAGAGTGAGGATTCCAACCCAGCTGATGCTACCGTTGCTGGTGAGGGGACCACACTTTCAGAACCACTGAAGTACAGTATCAGTTCTTTCCTCTCCACCCACCACCTTGCCCAGGTATGACCTTGGAATAAGTCAGTCCCACATGGGGCAACTTCTCTGACCTGGAAGTACTGTGCCGCAGAGGCCTCTTCTGTCCGTTGGCTGAACACTGAGTATTCCTTCTTCTTACTCCAACATCTTTTCAAGGTATTTGAAAAGGAGCTGAATTCTGCAAGGAGAAAGAAGCAAATCTGTTTCCACACCTTGGATATGAGAGAACTCACTGTTCACTCTACAAAATTCCAACTGAGAAAAGAGTGGGAGATTAAAACAGCACACTCATCCCTGAACACATGCGTGATAAGGAACAGCAAGGTGGAAACGGGTACTTCTGCGAGATGAGACATCCTTATTTACACTTGTCAGACATATTTGCGTTCACAAATGTCAAGTGAGGGAGCATAATGGAACACAGAGAGGGACTGACTGGCCTCATGGAGTTCTCCCAGTATTGTTCTCGCAAAGCTTCCAGGCTCATTCTCAGTATGTGTTCTAGGGAAGGTGACTATTGATGATAAGGAAAAAAAATGTGTATGTGAATACAAAATATATGTGTATGTAAATGAATATATATATGTAAAATCTCACTCTATTATCACAGTGACAGGGAGTTTTTCACAGTGAGTATTCTCTAGGCATATAGAGAAAAGGTAAAACTGCTAGGGATATGTAAATATAAGGGAATGCTTTCTGTTACTTGAGGAAGAAAATACAAAAGGGAAGGCTCAAAAAATTCCAGGGCCGGCCGAGTGGCATGCTGGTTAAGAGCTGGCTTGGGACGCCAGCTCTGTGCAGCAGGGCCCTCGTTCAGATCCCACATGAGGGCCAGTGACACTGCCCTCTAAGGCTAAGATGGTGAACAGCAGCTCAACCTGGAGCTGGGCTGCCGTGAGTCACCGGCGACAGCGTAGGCTGCAGCCCCTTCTGCAGTGGGCTGCTGTAAGCTACTGGGTGTGGCCGGCAGCCAGTGTGAGCAGCCGGCAGCCAGCGTGAGCTGCCAAGAGCCGCCATGAGTGGCCGTCCAGAGGCCGGCGACCGATCTGCCTCACCCGGGAAGAGTGCAATGATGATGCCAACATGGGCGAGTGAAGCAACATCCTCCACAACTAGACTGAAGAACAAAATGACAGCAACTTGTCTATTCCCCTTCCCCTGATTCCCCAGTGCTGTTCCCCTCCCACAATTCCCCAATAAAATCTCAAAAAAAAAATTTCCAGAAATGCTATTACTAATAAATAACACAGCATGCACAGTTGTCCAATTTGGTGACGTCTGCCTTAGAAAAGTCTCTCAAATCCTGCCCAGTGTTCCTCACTGCCTGTGGCCTCTCCCTTCTCCACCACTGGCGTGTGACTAGGTCTTTCCCCTACAGCCCACATTGGATCCTGAATGCCCAGCACTCTTAGTTCACACGAGCTGCAGCCCCTCATGTTCTCCCTGCCGCTGTGTGGGGACCCTCCACGGCCTCTCTTTCTTCACATACACAACCTGCAGTATGGCCTCAGCACCCCTGCCAGGCAGAGGCACTTATATAGATCCCCAGGTCATCCTGGTCTTGGCCTGGCTTCTTGACTTTGAACCTCCCCCGCTCTCCTGTTTAGGTTCTTTGGATATCAAACTCCTAATCGCCTTCCAAGATTCAGTTCAACCAACATTTCCTCACTGCTGTGTTCTGAACACCCACAAGCAGGATGAGTTGCTGTAATAAGCTGGCCTCAACACTTGGCTATAGATCAGAATCACCTGGGAAGAATTTTTTAAATCTAGACCCTGGACCCTCATCCTACACCTGGTCAATTCGTGGGACGGGGACAAGGCATCGCTATTTTTTCAAAAGCCTCCAGAGTTAGTTTTCATGTATAGCTAGGGATAAGAACCTGCATTCTAATCTTACACTCAGCCTGCCACTGTATTTCATATTTTACTGAATTTATCAATGTTTTAAAAATGCCTATCTCTCTATTTACATCGAATTTTTTTTTCTAATTAAAGTTTATTCGGGTGACAATTGTTAGTAAAGTTACATAGGTTTCAGGTGTACATCATCTATACATCACATTGTGTGTTCACCACCCAGAGTCAGTTCTCCTTCCATCACCATAGATTTGATCCCTTTTACCCTCATCTAACAGCCTCTCGCCCCTCCCCTCTGGTAGCCACTAAACGATTGTCTGTGTCTGTGAGTTCAGAGCTTCGTTTAGGGGTTTGAGCCTTATTTATACCCCTTGTCTTCAAAATATGGTGCAAACGCAGCAGTCACCCAATAAATTCATCTGAAATGTAAATTTGAGAAAATTAGTAACGAACTTGATGAAACTATTTTCAATTGGTGAGGCAGGCCTGTGAAGCCCTAGGGCTATTCCATGTGGTGTCAGGTAGGTTGAAAAACAACCTTGCTGGAGAATAAATGTGTAAACACACTTAACACAATCCCCGTTCTGCTCAAGGGCATGCCATCTACTTTAAAGAAACTTGGAGATGGAAAAAGGGAGGGATTCTTGTTGGAAATATAAATCAAGATTAGGTTTCAAATGTATCCTGAACATTTCCCTAGCTCCTAAATGCTCATTCTAATATATAAACCCTCCCTTAGCTAGTGTTCCCATATGGATTTCTCTTGTCTGAAAACAGAATGGTTCTTTGGTTAAAATCTTATCTCCATTATGAAATTTTATATCAATTCTTTATCTTTTGCAATTATACCTTTATAAAGGAAAGGATGCAAATGACTTTAAAATAATTATAAAACCAACACATAAACGGTAAAAAAAATTACAAAATGCAACAAATCAAAAAGAAGAAAATAAAAATATAATCCCATTACACAAGCTATTAAATATTGTTAACATTTTGGTGTATCTTCTTTTGGGGTGTGTATGTGTGTGTAAAAATTCCTCTTCTTTACAAAATTGTATCATATTATTTTGTAACCATATCCTTTAAGTACTATGTATAACTTCCCAAGTAGTCTCCTTGACCTCACTGTTGATAAGTATATGTTGTAGACTTTTATGGCTGTCCCATAATTTAACCAATTCCTTGTGGTTGGATTCCCAAGCCCCACCCAAGTCTACTGTATTAGAATGGTAGAGTCCAGTATCTGTTTTTAACTGTGTTCCTGGTGAGTCTGGTGACAAAATATTTTTGAGAGCTCCAGTTAATATTATAAATATGGCAACATCAATATAATAAGAATTCCACATTATAGTAAAAGAGACATCATTTCTTCACAACATCACAGCACACATGAAATCAATAGATTAGTCAATATTTCTCTTATGACTTTTTTCTGACTGTTTTCTTTTGTAATTAAAAAAATTGCATGTGACTTAATCACAAAATTTGGAAATGCAGAAAAGAAGGCCATGAAGGAAAAATAATTCCCATATATAACCACTAATTATATATTGAGACAGAATCTTGCAGTAATATTTCCTTGTATACATTATCTATCTCTTTATTATTTATAATAATAGCAATGTACTCTACTTTTTTACAACCTGCTTTTCACACAACAATATATTTTTAGTGTTTCCTGTGTGCTCTTGTTTCTTCAATTTGTTCTCAGAGACAACATCAGGGATTTATCAGATCTTAATTTCAACAAGGTTTTTGACTATATTCCTTCAAATTCTGGACCTAATTATTTGCTTATTAAATTATACAGGGGGTCAAAAATAACCAAATCTGTTAAACTAAAATGTCCTATATTTGGTTTTTATTCCTTTAGAAAGATACTAGAGGGCCGGCCGAGTGGCGCGTTGGTTAAGAGTTGGCTTGGGACTCCAGCTCTGAGCAGCAGGACCCTGGTTTGGATCCCACATGTGGGGCAGTGATGCTGCGCCCTCTACAGCTAAGATGGTGAACAACAGCTCGACCTGGAGCTGCGCTGCTGTGAGTCACTGGTGATGGCGTAGGCTGCAGTGGGGCTGGCCGGCAGCGGGTGTGAGCTTTTGTGAGCAGCTGTCCAACGGCCGGCGAGTGACTGACTCACCCGGGAAGAGCACAATGATAATACCAACATGGGCCAGTGAAGTGACGTCCTCCACAACCAGACTGAAGAACATAAGGACAGCAACTTGTCTGCTCCCCTTCTCTGATTCCCCAATGCTGTTCCCCTCACCCAATTCCCCAATAAAAATCTAAAAAAAAAAAAAAAAGATACTGGATAATATTTTAAAATTTAAATGTTTTAAAACTTTGTTGTATAAAAACTCGCAATAAACTATATAAAGAGACGCTCCACAACATAATAAAGATGATACGTGTATGACACAGCTAAACTTATACTCAATAGTAGAAAGCTGAAAGCATTTCCTCTAAGATCAGGATCAAGAAAACGATGCCCACTCTTGCTACACCTATTCAACATAGCACTGGAATTCCTAGCCAGATCAATCAGGCAATAAAAAAGAAATAAAAGGCATCCAAATCTAAAAGGAAGAAGTAAAACTGCTCTATTTACAGATGACATGATATTATATATAAAACCATAAAGACTCCAACAAAACCCTGTTAGAACTAATCAACAAATTCAGTAAAACTGCATGATACAAAAATCAATGTGCAAAAATCAGCTGTGCTTCTAAACACTAACAATGAACTATCAGAAAGAGAAATTAAGGAAGCAATCCCATTTACAATTGCATAAAAATTACATGGTTTATAACAATATTGTTAAGATGTCCATACTACACAAAGCAATCTATAGATTCAATGCAAGCATCAAAATTCCAATGACATTTTTCACAGGAACAAAACAAACAATCCGAAAATTTATATGGAACCACAAGATACCCTGAATAGCCAAAGAAAGAACAAACCTGGAAGCATTATACTGCCTGATTTCAAACTATGTTACAAAGCTATAGTAATCACAACAGTAATAGTATCAGCATAAAACAAACACATAGATCTGTAAAGCAGAATAGAGTCCAGAAATAAACTTCTTCATATATGGTCAATTTACAACAAAAGAGCCAAGAATATATAACGGAGTAAGGGTAGTCTCTTCAAAAAATGGTGCTGGGAAAACTGGACAGTCACATGCAAATGAATGTAATTGGACACCATACACAAAAAGCAACTCAAAATCGATTAAATACTTGAACTTAAGATCTGAAACTGTAAAATTCCTGCAAGAAAACATAGAGGTTAAACACCTCAACG